AGGGCTGCAATGCCCCCAGCAAAACGCATGATTCCCGCCTGGCCCAGTGGTAGATTTCAGCTGTCACGATCGGGTCACATGGCCAGAAGCACAACTCCCAGAGACAGAGATGCTACCAAATCCGGTGTCTTTTCCACAAAACCCACTTTCCACTGGGAATGGATGTATGCTTTTCTTGAGCTGGACTGAGAGCTCCTCCAAGGCAGGAATGGGTGTATGCCTGGTTCCAAGCTGGCCTCAGCCCTTCAGTGAGGTCCTGGCACACTCACCAGGAGCTCGCAGAAGAAATGCTCATTAACAAAGAAAGAAGGAATGAATGAATGAAACAAATTGTTGCCTTGGGGAGCCCAGGAGGGTGCTGCTCCTGCTTTGTCCTTCTATGGAGCACACACTCCTCCTAGACACGCACAAGAACATGTGTGCACACACAGCACTCCTCACAGCACACACGCAGTCTGGGACACAAACAGTGTATGCGGACTTAAGCTCCTAAGGAAACAACCCACTATGTGACGGGCCCTTTTGGTACCAGATAGGCCTCTTCCATTTCAGTGCCTGCCTCTCCTGTCCTTCCACCTGCCCCGGCAGCCCCTTGCCTTCACGTCTAAGTACCATACCTTGGGCTTCAATTGCCTTCTATTATCTCTTAGAGAAGAAGAGGTCAAGTCAGTCCCTGGGGAATGACAGGGAATGACAAGGTCTTTTAGGAAGGCACCTGGAGGGGAGTCCCAAGCTAGTGAGCCTGGCAGGGATGCCACCAAATGCTGCAGCCTTTACAGCCTGTGTGCCAGGTGTTGGGGGTGGTGGTGGGAGGGACTCAGAGACGCACAGGGGTGTTCAGGGCTGTTTGCAATGGGGGCTGGGCAGGATGCTGAAGATCTAGCAATCTAGCAGGTGTTCCTGTATGCTAGCGTGTTGGGGATGCTGGAGGTGTCTGCCTGGGGAATGGGCGAGTATTGGCAGCTGGGATGGGCTTTTAGGCAGTGGGGAAGTGGCTGGCCTGTGGGGGCGGGGGG